TCACAAGTTGAGAAAAGTGGATAATTCTTAGAATATTTTCTCCTAAGAACTGGAAAATTAAATAGACTAGGAAAATATTAGTAATATTTCAATAAAAAAACAAATATAATCATATTCAGTAAAGGTTTACAGGTGAAAACAAATTTCATAATATGTTACCTTGCTGCTATAAGTGTAGTATAAACTTTAGAAAAATATACCAAGCCAGGTGAATTTAAAGAAGAGGAACAAAATGACAAAAAATTAGCAATATCACATAGGCTGATTTTTACAATTTAGCTTTTCCTAATAAAATTCACCTGGCTTGGTATATTTTTTTCAGTTTACATTACACTTTTTAGCACCAAGATAACATATTCTGAAATTTGTTTTCACCTGTAAACCTTTACTAAACGTGATTTGTTTATATTTGTGTTTTCATTGTAATATTACTAATATTTTACAAGTGTTTTTCATATTCCAGTTCTTAGGAGAACAAAATCTAAGAACCATCCACTTTTCTAAACTTGTGACATGATATTTAATCTTTTTCAATGAAAAAGTTTGTTTGTTTCACCTGTCCTTAATCAATATGTTTGCAAATACCTTTGCAATTATGAGACTACATCTTTTATTTTTAAATGATTCAATATGTGTGACAAGTCTTCTCTATTTTGCAATATGTAGACTATGGTTTATATATATCAAAAAATTAATAGACTGCAACTTTAAATTTTTTACTTAATCAATGGGAAAAGTTTTAGGAGATAATGATGAAAATTCAAGATAAGTTTGTGAAACAAAGAGGCTTTTGATTAATGTTGTTGTTTGCAGGTCAAAAAGTAGGTAGTTTTGGTACCAAAAGAAACGTTTCTCACAGTGAGTCTACCTTCAAAAATAAAAAAAACCCATAAAAGCAGCAATTGTTCCAAACTGAAGACCAAATTAGAGATTTTCAAAAGTAGGTCAAACTGGACAAGGTCAAGGAGTCAATATTAATGATGCCCGAAAAAAATTCAGAAAGAATACCCGGGTGAAATATAAAATTTACGAAATCAACCATTCAAAAGTTATAACCAAAGTTTTTCAAAAGAAGGTCAAAGTCTTATGTCCAAACAAAAGGATGAAGAATAAAAAGAAAATATTGGTATTCAAGAGAAGATCTCACCACAAGAAATGAACCGGTAAAATAGTTAACCTCTAGCACAAAATATTCAGTAAATACGTACAAAGTTAACGTTTTTGAAAAGTAGGTCAAATCCCTAAGTTCAAGGTTAAAGGTCATTACTGCTTGTACTCAAGAGAAGGTCTTATCAAAATATTAGTGTGAGGAGTATGATATCACTTGATTTAACCGTGTAATAGCTACGCTAAGATTAAAATTTTGAAAACTTCTTTAAAAGTGAGTCAAACATGAAGATCAAAGTCAATAATACTTGTACCCTAGGAAAAGTTTTTACACGTGGAATACACAAGTGAAATATTAAAGGCATAGCTCATTTGACCAAGGCTTAAATTCTCATATGAAAGTCAAAATAAAGAAACAAAATTGAACCCAAGGATAGGTCCTTTTATAATATATACACCTGTGAAATATGAAATCCATCGCTCAAACCAATTAAAGGCTGCAGTCAGGGCTAATTGATTTCCCCACTTACAGATAAATCAGAAAAAAAATCCCAAACAGACAGATGGACCGACGTCACAGTAAAATGTATTTGTCCATTATTTTTTGCATTACGGATAGAAATTAATAAAAAAAAAAAACACTTTGTGATAAAATGTCTGTACGTATGGTTTGAAGAGATACCGGCGTAAGTTTTCTTGGGAAAATAACGAAACAATATAATGCACGGTATGTCTTTGTGTATATGCTATTTATAGTTTATTTAAAACATAAGGATAAGTATAGATCTCTTCCGAGGAGACGAATAATCGATCCGAAGTAAACTTAAGAAGACTCCACTTAATGATTTAGAACTTTTAACACCATGCTTAAAGAAATTATATAGAAAAAAGATAATGGTTGCAAATGTTTATTGTAATTAAAAGAGAATGAAACATTTCGTAACAGAACGCTCTTCCGGCTCCAAATAAAACAGAGAATCCTAACAAATAAAGGGGAGTTTTAGTCCGTCTTCTTCTGTATAGTACGTGTAGTTCCTTTCGTAAAATACGAATTTTCTTTTGGGGAATTCTGTTTATTTTGTGGATTTGTTTGTGACTTGGGGTTTTGTTTATGACTTTTATATTATTTGTCTGGTGACTGGATCTGATTATGAACTCCAGGGATCATTTCTCGCTTTTCCGCATGTGAGAGGTTTTAAGGGCCAGGGAAAACCTTTTTCCAATTCCCTGGTCCTGACCAGACAAAGTTCATTAGGCTCTTAATGTCCAAGTTTGCATTTATCTCCCTTGGATTTATTTATTCTCTTTCTGCATGTCCAGCGCATAACAGCTAATGGGGAGTGGCGATGTTACCCAACCAGCATTCCACTCTTTATTAAAGTAAACAATCTATTTCTAATATTTATAATTACAATAAATAATTTTACGAAAGATTCTAAACCATATTATAAATATAACTACTTATAATATAAAAAAAGTTTAACTTGTAAATAAAATAAGCCATGTGAAAATTTAATGATGTTTACCAAAACGCGCGCAAGTCTACAAAATAATCTTACCTGTATAAATGCAACCAGAAAGAGACAAAATCCAGCATTCCACTGCCGAATTGTCTCACTGAGCTACATTTATACTCCCGTACATGTCCTGCATATTTTAATATTTCTTTAATTACTTTTATCTTTAGAGCTCGCCGTCGTTATCTTTGTCACCCTAAATGATTTATCTCTGGGAACCGTCCAGATTAAAAGTTAAACTCCCATCGGTCCGCATCTTCAATTCCTTTTAACTAAATCCATCTTTTCATACGCAAGTAAGTAGGTTTATTTATATCTTCAGAGCTCGTATCTTCTATCTCTCTAAACCGAATAGTGCAAATCCATAAACTATATTACAATCTTATTTTTGCTGCAATCTTTGTTACGATATTCCTCTCAGTCACGCAGCGCCACCTACCGTCGTTATGATAAGTTAAAAGGAGGCCAAAGATTGGGTCAACTGCCGCCTCACCCTCGTCGTTAGAATTCCAGTTCTGATACGTTACAGGTGTCCAATTATTAAAAATGAGTCTTTCATTGTCGTCAAATGTCAAAACATTGGCACGAAATGCAAAGGAACAGTTGAGATCAACTTCTGCAGAAAAGGACAAGAAAAAAATTATATCATCTTCAAATTTGAAATACCACCGATACAATACATTGTATGAGTTGTTGCTTTACATCCTGCATGCTCTAAAAAAATATGAAATTTGATCTACCGAATCCAAATTCAATAGACATTTGAAGGGAATGTGTTCTCTTTTTTGCATCGTGGTATATGCAACAATAGAATATTTTCTAAACAGAATAAGCAAACCTAGGCCAAAACTTATTTCAATTTGAATAACAAACGAATATAATGTTTATGGGTGAAACTAGAAATAAACAATTTTAATGCACTGCAGAAATATTTTTTTCCAGATTTAATGTGCATTTTTTTATTACGTTTAAAGCGATATTTGTAGAAAGCACAAAAAATCTATATAACTTTTTTGGCAAAGGAGTTAAAATATAATCTACATATTTTTTTCTGAAAGAGCATCATTTTTTTAATCAAATGCATATTGGAGAAATTTGACAAAAATGTTTTTGTACGCATGTGATAAAAATGAAAGCATGTTATGAATAAATTGTTTACATATATACCCAGATGTATGGGGTTTACGCCTTAAAACCTCTCAAGAAACAACATCATGTAATAACAAGATGTGTTTGTGAAACACTGATACCCCCGTATGGCAACATATCGAAGGTAAAGCTTTCTCAAATGCAGATCAAATATGTTGGTACTTAACGTAAGGCCTTTCCATAAAATACAAATATGACACAAAAAACCCTTGCACCACCTGTTTAAAGGTTACAACCAAGGTAAGCGTTTTAAAGGTAGGAAAAACTCCGATTTGTTTGTAAAAAGGAGGTCAAAAACCAAGGTCAAAGTCAAAGTGTTAAAAGTGTTGAAATCCAATGAAAAGTCTTTTCACAATGACTACATAAGTGAAGTTTGAAAGACCTAAACCTTACAATTCAAAAGTTATCGCCAAAGTTAAAGTTTTCTTGTAAATACGGAAATGTCTAAGGTCAAATGGTAAAAATTGATGGTTTCAATAGAAAGCACTTGTCATAAAGAATCGATATTTGAAATATTAAATTCCTAGTATCTATAAATTAGGACCAAATTAAAAGTTTGGATTTTTTGTGCAAAAATGTGTCAAACTCCAAGGTCAAGGTCAGAGGGTCAAGGTTTTTAATATCAAATGAAAGGTCTTGTCACAAGGATTAATTAGGTGAAGATTAAAAGCCCTAGGCCTTACCGTTAAAAAGTTATGGCCAAGGTTTGAGTTTTTAATCTACAAGGTCAAAGATATTGGTATCCCATGAAAGGTCTCTTAACAAAATATATATATGTGAATTAGAACAAGCCTGGTATCCACTATTCAAATGATATGGCCAAAGTAAAAGTTTAGAATTTATGTGATAAACTTGGTCAAACTCCTAGGTTAAGGTCAAAAGGTCAAGTTATGTGGTACCCAAAGAAAGGTCTTGTCACACGGAATACACATGTGAAATATGAAAGTCAAAGCTCCACTAAATCAAAAGAGATGGGCAAGGTTAAGGTTTTTGTGGACGAACAGACAGAGACACACACACACACACACAGAGAGAGAGAAAGAGAGAGAGAGAGAGAGAGACGTTCAGACAGACGGAAGGACACGACAAAAACTAAATAAACCCCCTGAAACTTCCTTCACGGGGGCATAAAAAGGTTTTAATAACCACATTGTATATGGTCAAGTTATGTGATAAGTAGATTGTTTAAATACCCGAACGTAAACAATTAACCATAAAATGTATTGTTTAATAGCCCGGATGTATGCGGTTTACGCCTAGAAACCTCCCATATCCATTCCCATTCCAGACTAGAAGCTCTTCTCCCGGCTCTGCGTCAGGTGACGTCATATAGAAGATGATGCCCTCACACGTGATTGGAATAACATTTTGCTTCTGACATCTGGCGGGAGAATTAACGAATCGTAACCAATTACTGCAGGACGGATCTTCTATATCTATGTTGTGAGTACCATCGGTCCCCTGCTTATCTACCTTTGAAACAACCAGATCAAAGTTATTAAGAAATAATTGAGTGTACTGTATATCTAATAATTAAAAAAAATAAAATAACAAGCATTAACATCAAGGAATAGCTCGATCTTACCTAATGTAAACAAACATCATGGCTACTAGGATTATTTAACAGATATTACCACAGGCGCCTCCATTATGGATCGATACCACCCCCTTTTTTAATTGAAAAAAATATGTAAGAGCGTAAAATATCTCAAAATATTAAATTTCAACGTCAATCATATCAGTATGTCGTTCTATGCAAGCAGATTGTTCTGTTTTTTTTTTCACGTTTAGAGAATGGCCTAATACGGTATATAAAAAATTGACAAGGAATTGGACAATTTATTAATGCATAAAATGTTCTAGATTGACAGCTTTGGAGGAGGTTTTAGTGTTTGTGTTTTGCTTTATCTGATTGGATAACTGTGATCCAGTTAAAATCTTAGCTAAAACAGAGATGCAACTCTAAAACCTATTACTGTGGAAATGTTATGTATCCGTTTAATAAATCATCCAATTGCGACATCTCACTCTAATGGTGGGCTGAGGTTAAAGGCACAATAGAAGGACATTTCCCAGACAGAGTGCTAAAAATTATGATAGGTTTCACTGTTTTTACCGTGGAAATCCGTCTCGAAGCAGGAACTCCGTTTGTTTACAAATTTTATTTCTCGCACTGGAACACCAGAGGTGGAATAAGGGTCTAGAATCTTTAACTCAGCAGATATACGGACCCCTGGAAAAGCAAAGGTAAATAAGGTTCCTAGAATCGGTAACTCAGCAAACAATATTCCAATAACAAAATTCTCCAACCCGAACATAATCGGAATACAGATTCCCATATATTGCTACATAATGTGTAACTGATATTTTCTACGAAAACCTCAGCATAGGGGAAAAGTAATCAAACATAAATAAAGAGAGGAAGAAAATAATGACACAATGAAAGTAATAAAACAATTTTAACAAAATAGGAATACTTTTGCATGATACAGTTTATTGGTTTTTATCAATTCTATTCTTAGGTAGATGTGCGAGCATTTACTTTCCTTTCTTAATTGACAAAAGCATGCTCTACGTATCAGAAATTTCTAAAAGGAGGTAAAATATTGACAAACAATTGAGTCTAATGCTGACCTACGTTTTGCATACTCATTATTAGTCCATATTTATACACTGAATCGAACAAGGAATTTTCAGTTTTTTCCGAACCGTGACAAGGAACATAACGCGGAGGTGACCGATCGGCAGGGGATGCTGTCTCATCCATAACACCTAATCCAACCTCCGATGTTTTGAGATCCGTGTTTTGTCTACTCCTATTTGGTATTGTTTTATGGACTTTTGATTTTGTATTTTCCTGAACATTTTTGTTGGTTATTAGAGTTTTTATAGAGATATATGCACTTAAATACATAAAGCATTAATTTAAGTCTTCCTTTTTTTAACAGATTAAAGAAAATCCATCAATTAGAAAAATCAACATTTTTGATTCAAGAGAGGATTTTAATTAAATCCCTCGTCACCCCTAACTTGAGTACCAAATCCATTTTTCTTGGTTTTACTTTGCAGTTCTCGGGATTTTGAACATTTTTTATTCAAAAACTACTCAGTCTATTCGGAGATTCTTTTTCGTTTCCAAGATGTTTGCAAAAGGGACTAACTCTTCAACTCCTTAATAGGGACGTTAAGCAAATATTGAACGGTTGAAAAATGTTCAGAACATTATTCTGAGCATCTTTTGTTGAATATAACTTAGTCATCATTTTGCCATTCATGTGTTGAAAGCACGATTTAAAGTCAACATATCGCCTAGACCTGACCATTTTACAAGTTTAGGGAAGCAAAATGAAAATATTGAGCATTATAAAAAATATTCAGCAAAATTTTTCAAAAACCTAAGAAATATTGAAAAATCCCCCTTCATTACTGCATATTGAGTTTCATTTGAGTAAATGCTTTTGTCTAGTTTAAGAAATGCTTTGGTTTAGTATAAAACATGCACTATATATAATTGATATTTTGTTTGATGTTTGTGCCGGTAATACCGTGACTTAAATTGCCAGTGGCGTTTTTTTAAGAAATGAAAATTAAGGATAAAATGGGACAAAACATTATAAATGCATTTAAAAAATTATCATCATAGAGATGTCTGGATGCAAGAGTTATTTGATTACCAAAACCAAAAAGTTTCGACATATCTTAATGATATCTTTATAAAGAAATAATATCAAATAGAAATTAAACCTGATGAAACCAAAGATATGTTTATATAAAGTCTGGAACAAAAAGGAAAAGAATGTATGATTGTTCATTAAGAAAAACATATAAATCGCGTTTAGCTATTCATGAAGGTAGCAACATTTTATAGAACCACTTCGTCTACCAATGATGAAAGGAAATGATATCCGAAACAAAAAAGAAAATTAAAAGAATTAATTCATACCAGGTCTTTTAAATAAATAATTTCATTAGATCGATGACATACAACACAGAAATGATATGACATTAAATTTGACTTTCTCTCATAATTGAATCTTTAATGAATTGATAACACTTACTGTGACCACATTCCTTCACATAGTTTAATTGTGGGAAGCTTGGAAACAAGGGCTTATCGAGACAGGGCATTAAAAATGAATGGTTAAGAATCCGTAAACTAGAATAAAATTAAACACTTCATTAAAGCTGCTATGATACTTGTCATTATCCCAAAAATATATTAAGTGAAATATGTGAAATTTACAGCAACCAGTGTCTCTTTTTATACACACATGGACAGGTGGATTCAATGATTAAAAATGATAAAATGGGCATCAAAAATGAGTATCATCCTTGGCGACAAAGACATGCAGCAACCATTGTATATAATCAAACATTTCACAAATAATCCTGATTATGTTTTATTGACTTTGAGACATATTTGATAGACATCATCTCAGGGGTAGTTCACATTGTTTTAAAGACAAATTTGATGATAAAAAAGTTAAATACTTAAAGGTCACCCTATATTTTGAAATATGAGTGAAAACCACTGCGTGTATGAATATCGAAACAGTTATTTTAAAATTCAAAAATTTAACAGCCTTTCACAGCACTTAAAATTCGTTATGTTTACCAAAATGACGTCATGTCGACAAGTATGCAGCGATCAGTGATTTGTTTATAAACTGTTGTCTGGGATTTTACTAGCAATTATTTTTTTAAAGGTCAGACGACACGTTCCTAAAACATATGTCTTATATTTCTTGGTATTATAAAAAATATTCATATTTGTCCTTCTCTTCTGAATCCTACATTGTATTCAAAAGGATTTTTAAATATAAGTACAATACAAATTGTGATATAGGCCATTCAGAAGATAACACATAAAGGTGATATAAGAAATTTGACCCTGTGGTATCTTGTCTAAATGCCTGGTAAGGTACCCTAATTTTTGTGAGGAAACTTGTTTAAGTTCATATACTTCAATGACAATTTCTTAGAAAAAGTTACATATTTTTTGGGAACTTGTCATCTGACCTTAATGCATTGATAAGTTTTGATGTTGTTTAGTATGCTAATACAGTTTAAAATTGCAAAGTATTTGATTTTCTAGCATTATGGGGAATCAAAAATGCACCTATTCTTGTGTGACATCACAGTTAACATTTCCCGTATAAATTAGGTCCCGCCCGTTATTTAAAGCCTTTACTATGCTGCGTATGATAGTAACTTAGTAAAACATATAATTGATAAACATACGCCGAAAATTTTTCAGACTTGTTTTCTAGAACATTCTTGGTACCACGATATCCGGTAGCCAGTTTCACTATGACATCACTTTAGGATGACATCGACCCTTACTACACAAGTTAATAAGAAACGCCTATAAAATTGCTTTGGTGCAAGAGCATACCTTACTTTGTTTTACAGAATCAAGGTTCACATAAACGTGGGATATTCCAAGGATTCAAGATATTGCTGCACAAATGTTGACACTGCAATTGTTTAGTTACAATATGTAGAGTTTTTTAGTTAAAGTTTCCTAATCTTTTTATCAACTGAGAAAGTGCCTGGGATTTGTGCAGCACTTTTATTAATCTTAGAATAGTCCCCCTTAGTATTAAACAGTATTTATTTCAAATTAAAAAGGATAGTTTTTATCGACGTTTTGGTTTTAAGATATCAATAAAAAATATCGAACTTACTGAAGATGAGGAAAGATGCTATTTCCTCGACCTACATTAACAGTTTACATGGACTCATCGTAATATAGAAAGGTATATTGACGTTTATAGTGAAGGACTTCTGATGACTGCACCTGTTTAAATTATTCGTTCATGATTTATTAAATATACCAATTTTGTATCCATATACTCTGTTGTTCCTTATATAAAGACATAATGCTGATAAATGTCGTTTGCATGTAGCTATGATTCTGATTTAACGGACTTGATAAAGGAGGTAATTTTATTCGTATACCAAACCACAATCGTGTCAGCTTAGAGGAAAAAGTAAAAATTAAAACCAGTGAAATTATCCCCTTTACAGCATATTTATGATGATTTAACGACGGATTTTCCGGTTATTTCCCAATCATGACAATGAGCACACGGCAGGTGTGACAGGTCAACAGGGGATGCTCACTCCTCCAAGGCCCCTGATCCCACCTCTGATGTTTTGAAGGTCAATGTTTGCTCTGCTCCTGTTTTGTATTGTTTTATAAATATGGATTTTGAATATTGTTCGTTATCTAAATAAAATTCGATTTCACTACATAAGCTAATAAATCAAACAATCTGTGAATGTAAGAGGGGGAACAAATATTTTTGTTTTAAGTTATATATCTTACCAATATTTTTTTTTCAATGATTTGATGTGGAACTGATTTCCTTTAGAACAATGAATATAATAGAAAATACTTTCATGAAAAACACTTCATATTTTTGCTTAGAATCAATAAGTCCATTAGCAGGAATAATTCTATGTAATGTTCAAATCAATGAGTAAGGTATATGTGATCCAGTCCAATATCCATCTATCTACAAAGAAGATCAAGATGTATAAATTTTTCGTGAAGAAACCATATCTATTTTGCGTTTAACTATTCATGAAGAAAGCAAAATTTCATTAAAAAAACACTTCTACGTCTACTAATTATCAAAAGAAATGAATCTAAAATATTACAATGATCTTCTTACTAATAATGTTTTTTATAACATTTCTTATATATAATTCAACAATAGAGATAAAAATTTTAATGAATTTATTTTTTTTTTTTTAAATATTGCAAAAGAACAACAGTAAGCTAGATATTCTAAAACATATAATTTGTACAACTTGAAAGATTGAATTCTAAAATTCTTGAAAAGTGCTGCTTGAATCACGAGTAACCATGGGTCTATGAGAAATCTCGGGTTGTATGTATAAATTTCAAAACATCGGGTAAGGTTTAGTGCAAATGTTTGGAATAATTATTCTCTTCACCGGACAGAGGGATGTTAACAGCACTTTTAAAGCACAATAGATGTTTTTTTACGATATTATTAACTTTAAAAATTATTATTGAACTCCGTGGTATTGTTCTGTTGTTTTTTTTTCTTCATCAGGCTATTAATAGAACTCATGTGATGACGTGGTGGGATGCACATTCTTGCTTTAAACACTCTTTTATCTTTTTGCAACTGTTAAGAAAAAATTACATATAATCATTGGCTTTGACAGGTTTTTTTAATCTTTTTTTTTTTTGTTTAAATAGTTCTAATTCTCCAAGAAATATGATAATCCTGAACTTCCCACGAATGCACCCCTATTCTTATAGAATTAAAAAGATTGGCAAAAGTTTAATTTGGATTCAGAACACAAAGTACAGGTATTTAAAATTTGAAATAAAAAAATAAACTTTGTGGGACTTTGAGTTATGAAATAGGGTGAATTCACCATGCATCGGACACCCTTGTTATTCACCAAGTTCTAGTGATATCGCTGTGGACGGAAAATTATCAAAAATGGAGTTTAACATTTAGTATTTGATTGATATATAAATTTTGGATACAATTTTATGCTTTTATTGAGAAAATATAATAAAAATTCGAGTTTTTAAAAATAACTCAGAATTCACCATGGATCGGACATTGTTTAACATGCATCGGACAGCAGGAATTTGGACGGGGAAAATATCATACCTTTTGTACAGTGCTTTAAATTCCTTTGAATTCCTTGGTATGGATGTACTTTTACCTTTTATCTAAGAAATAACCCTCAACTTAGATTGACAATTGCACAAATGTAGAACAATTCAAGATGCTTTTATTTGCCTTAGAAATGCTTTAAAATGCTCGTAATGCGGTAATTCGGGCCTTTTTCTCATGGGTAATTTATACTCTGGTTTGTAAAAATCATATATGGAGAACTTGTATTTTGACTGAAAATTTAGAGTTTTTATTTTCTATTTCCGACAAAAACAGCTGTAAGTAGAGTTCTGTATGAAAATGGCACTGATTACCTATGCATCGGAAAGTGTCCGATGCATGGTTAATTTGTGTCCGATGTACGGAGAAATGAACGTACTAGTGAAAACCAGCTCTAAAAAGAATTATACAAACATTTAAAGAAGGATAACTCAAAAAACTGCAAAATCATAAATTTCTGGTTATTCCCCTTTGATGATGTAAAATATGACGTAACTTCATGGCCATAATCGGGGTATTTTTATTCCGACATGATAGTAACAATCGGTATCATTGAAAAAATTGAATCTTTATTTTTAAGACAGAAACAAATAAATACATGTAACTCTTAAGTATTGCCTAAAGTTGTCTGAAGCAAGGTATGTGTCCGATGCATGATAAACATTTTTGCAGATTAACTAAAAGCAATATGTCGAAAATATTTTTTGTAATATTGTAATAAACTATTTAAATGACAGAAAAAATAACATTTATCAATTTCGATTCTTTATATTTCAGACAGAAAAGCTATTGATATGTTTTGATTGAAGCAAAATTACATTATTATCGTCATGTACAATATTGATTTCTTATATAATGACATACATTCCTTTGTATAAGTCTTTCTTCTGAACACAGCATGAATAGTTTCTATTGTCAGACTAATGGAACATAATTGTTAAGATTATATACAAATTTATCATGATACATGTACGTTTTAACAGCAAAATCAATTTTCTAAAATGCAGCTTATATTGCTTTCGCAAGTGAATTAAGGCTAAATATTGAGGTTTCTATCCAAAATAATTATTACATTCTTGGTACCCAAGCTATTCAATAGCTAGTGTACATTATGGCGTCATATTACGACGTAAAAAATGACGTCATCGACCTTTTCCTGACAAGTTCATGAGAAATATCAGAGAAATCGCTTCAGCCCAAGAGCAAACTTTACTCTGTTTTAAACCAAGGATTTACGATTTTACTGCGCAAATGTCGAGACTGAACGCTACAGTTGAATGGATTTTAATTCTGATCTACACTGGTTGTATTTACTGTTGATATCTGCTCAAATAGCAAATCAGTAACAAAACTGTTCACCATACTATTACATTTTACCTTTTATAGACTTTGTTTTAATCACAAACAATAAATTTCCATATATTATGTCAGTGTCAAATTCAATTGCAATACATATCAAAAGTTGAATTTTCATGAGTTATTCTGTCAATGATACCGAAATCTAATTCGGCACTTATAATTTCCCCTACGAAAATGAGGTAAATTCGTTTGATGATCTAAAAGAACGGTTTTCTCTTCCACGTCCGACTCGTCAGGACTCTTCGTCCGGAGGCCACTTCGACCAATACGAATGGATCACATTCTGTTGGTTGATCATTTGTTCTATCTCTTGAATTGGTACCCATGGTAATTCCAAAAGATAGTTGGAATAACTGGTTTCCAAAAACCGCAAAGATATTGTCAATCAGAAACTCAGACATCTTTTTGATGTCAACTTCAGAATAATTGTGTATGCAATCACAATATGTTTTAACAAAATAATTTTGCAAATGACCAAATACAAGGAAAGTGAATTTACAAATTCGATTTTTAAAAAAAAAAAACAGTTGTCAATGATATAGAAAAGCCTGGACTTTAATTCATCATGTGGAATAGATGTGTATAAAATTGAAAACTTGTATGTTTTCTTTTAGTTGACTTTGGTAAAATCTCGTGATTTCAAATTGTCCAAAAATGTTTACATGCATTGTCGGAGGGACCAGTTCGTACTGATCAGTTATTGTATCTAATTCTTTTTCCACGTCTATATTACTGAACACGAAAAGTTCGCCCGCGTGTCGCAGTGGTTAGAGCGTCTGCTCTAGAGTTGCAACGGTTCGATTTTATCTGTTGGACTTTGATACCGGTCCTTCGGATGAGACCGTATAGACCGACGTCCCGTGTCGCAGTAGGTGCTTGCACGAAAAAAAATCCCTACCTGACCAACGGCTCTTAGTGCCAAGTAAGGGCAAAACTTACTGCTCTCCACAGGCTAGTAATGGCGTCTCTATTTGAGTGAAAAAATCTCGAGAGGGACGTTAAACAATATACAATCAATCAATAAATGAACACAGAGAGATAGGTTGTTTTCATATTTTCATAGTAAATAAATATGCACAGCAGCGTTATAATTCCCTAACTGCCCTGTTCATTTGGTGCATGGTGTTCCTTGAGTTGACACAATGCAAGCAGAGGAGTGATATCAATTTTCGCTTGAACGCACACAGCCGCATGGTTAAGTAATATGCCCCAGGCAGAGTATAGGAACTGTCCTTCGATTGCGTCGATTATGCAAGAATGAGCCGTGAGCTGTGAGGTTATGTGAGCACTGAGGTCACAAAGAAACATTGTATTCATTAATACATACTGTATGTGTATGTGTCAGATCATAATGTAAAGTAGAAGATGCACAATGAAACTATGTAACAAAGATTTTGCATGTGAAAGTCTCATTCAATTGCATTTAGCGGTAGAAGAGGAGTTTTGCATAAGAGAAGGGTAACTCAAAGCGTAACAGACAGACAGTCATAATTACCGTTACATAATTTCCAGCTTTTCGACGGGGGTACAAAACTAGTTATATACTATTATTACATTTTTCAGACAATACGATGACTCTCCATAATTGAAAAGAAACAATGTTCACCTAGCCCTTGGGCACAATCAATCTTTTACTCCTTAAGAATCTGAATCATTGCATTCGCAGGTATGTTAGGGTTACAACCAAATTTTCTACTTGTGCATATGATATGACGTTGGTTTTAAGTCGTATAAATGAATCAGAATATGCAGAGGCAAAATATAAACGGAATTTTGTCGTTTCTGGGTCTCTGTAGTTATCACAGGGGTTAAATACCAAATCCGTGACGTCATAACTGTTGATCATTTAGTAGTAGAAAGAAAATAAAACGTAACAAGAATTCATGTAAACAAACACAAAGAAATCAGAGTTTAAAAGCATTTAAAATGAATATCATGTGTGATTCATGTGTGAATAAAGCTTATGAATAAGGTATGCTAATATATTTCTACAATTTCTTCGTAAAATTAAAGCTGGCAGGGTGTTTACTTGCCGATCAGCCTTTCCTCTGTCGTTCGATACAAAAAAGAAGCGAAAGTTCAACACAACGCCGCATACTTTGAAACTTCATTTTTGTTTCTATCGAAAGTTCTTATTCTTTTGATTTTGGAAAGTGTTGTTAAAATCGTTCGGTTTACTGGAATTTACGCATTATTTTTCGAAGTTATGAACAAAATGTTAGAATTTTGGGAAGATTTCGTCCGAAAGTGTTGAATAATTATTTCTGTGAAAAAAAAAAGGATTCTAGCAGCACTTTTCATGGTGCAGAGATGCTTTTACATTAACTATCATTAACTATCATTACAAATTGAAATTAATTATCACCAGGGTAGTGTTGAACTTTTCACTTTTACAGTATATTTTCTAATTATAGACGTAACGTGGTGACATCGTGGTAAAGTGCCTCCTGTAGTATAAGTCCCATTGAGGTCTATAGAATGCATAATGATAGCAAAAGTTTTATCCTTGACTTTTCCGATTTATTAGTGTTACATATTATAAATTATATATAAAAAAGTGTTAATTCGCCGAATTCTAATCCATGTGCTGCCTTAACAAACCCGCGTTGACCTTAAAGAAACAATGATTGTGTAATTTAGTGAGATCAAATTACCAATCTATTCCCTATTTAGCCCAGGTGAGTATTTTTTCCATAAGCTCCCTTTATTTATCTTTTTTCTGCAACTTAAAATTGTAACTTAAATCCCCAAGGGAATCATTTTTTACAGTGGTCATTTTTCGTCACTTAGACTATGCAAATTTTTAGGTTCATCATACTTTTTCTACCGGCAAAAGGGTCATTTTGCGACGTCGAATGATGACCAAGGGCACTTTTTGCAGCAGAAAAATGACCGGAAATCGTTTTTCGACGTCGAAAAATGACCTCTGGTCAATAATTTATAGGGGTCATTATTCGTCTTCACAAAGGCACCAAAAATGAATTGGGGAGTATCTGTGGAACATTTGTAACTGTTCCCGTACAAATAAGACTAGTTTATATCAGATTCAACAAATCAATATTTAAATGAATGATACATACTGAGTACGTAAACATTAGCCAATCATTTTAGATAACTACTGGTTGTTTTGATATTTATATTCTGTGTTTGGTATTCTACATTGCAAATTTTTAAAGGTACCGCACAATACAGCCAGTTGCTATAAGTCCAAATTACGACATGGGCGTTTTTTGTGTAATTATTTTAGTTTTTGTCTTTTTTGCGGTGTGCCAATCTACAACTATTTCGAGGAAATACACCGCAAAACTGGAACTGAATGATAAGAAATCAAATGAAGAACTTTTAAGAGAATACAATACTACATCAGTGATAAGGTGTGCAGCGCGCTGTCAAAGGGAGTGTAGTATCTTTGGTTTCAACTCTCAGATGAAAAAATGTCGAACCTTTAGGAAAACATTTATGTCTGAAGTATCAAATGAGGATGGCTGGAGATACTACTCACATGACAGTTTTATTCCTGCTCTATTTATTCCAATAGACTGTAAGGACCTTCAATCAGATGGATACATTAATTCAGGGGTGTATGAAATCTACCCCTATGGAACCATTACCAGTCCTGTCCAGGCGTACTGCGATATGACCACAATGGGCGGGGGATGGACGGTTTGTTGTGTATTTAATATTAGGACACATTATACAATTTATTTCACATTCAATGTTTTTGTTGTTTAACAGAATATAGATTGAAAAAAATATGAATTTATTTAGATTATATCATAACATATCGATCACACAACTGTTAAAACATATGATTTGCTATACGTGTTAACTTTAAAGGCAATCCAAAAACGAAATACTGGATCCCTGGACTTTGACAGGACCTGGACGGAATATAAAAACGGATTTGGTTCACCGGAACAGGATGTCTGGATTGGTAAGTGTAAATCGCTTTCAAATCGGAACTTTTTTTATTCCTTCAGAGTTTGAAAGAAGAAATCTTGTGACAGGTAAAAAAAATAAAGCGTAATAAAGATCTGAATTCAAGACCAGGTAATATGTGTTCTACGATATTTACATATCGCGTTAGATTCATATATCAAATAAAAAGAAAAAAGGAGAAAAGAAAATCATTAAGCAGCATATTTTTATGAGACCAAATTTAGCATTACTGTCTACAGCTAAGGAAAAAAAAATGATTTTTCATTACGGTAGATTCATATGTTTAATGGAATTAATTGTATTGCAATGAATCGTTCAGCTATTTTCACATATATATTATGACAGGAAATGACGTTATCCATCAATTAACAAAAGAAAACTCATCATCCCTGTATGTTACCATCACTCTCGAGAATGGTACAACTCTGTATGAAATGTACGACGGATTCACTGTCTCCAACGAAGCAGGAAAATACCAACTCTTTCTTACAGGACCTGCAACGGGAACCTTAGGTAAGTGAATTCACGTTAAGTTCTTAAAAATTGGTTCAAATTACGTATATCATCATAATATTATTTTGTACTGAAAGATTTATAAGTTGTAAAAGAAAGAGAAAGATACGGGTTTTTTTAATGATATTATGTATACGTTTTTCTATTCCACGCTAATTAAACATATTTATTATTTCAGAATATCATTTGCAGGTATAATTCAGGAGACATTGAATTCTTTATTTTCAAGTAGCTAAATGTTCAAATTATTGATTTTAAATACCAAGAAATTTATGTGAATTTTTTTAAAGAAATAAATCCAGGTATTAAATTTGCTCAACCATAGTTATTCAGCTTGGGTTTCCTAATAATTAATAATTATTTACATTTTAACTTTTACGGAAAAAAGTTTACAGAGCGTAATTATAATTGATCCATGATATCGAAATCTTAACAAAAAAATTAATGTTCTCAAAAAAAAAAAAAATGATCAAAAACACATTCAACATTCAAATTAAAAAAAAAACAAATGCAAAACTTCTCGTCGTGTTTCACATTTACTATACCTCTATACCTTTTCTCTATGAATTAAAAATCTAGTCTGATTTTCAATTATTCACATTTTAACCCATATGGAATAAGAAGTTTACAGAGCGTTATTATTTTAAATGTCAAAAACTTTAAGAAAATTTCATGATAAAAACATTGTTCGGATATTTATTCAAAAAAAGTCAAACAAATCCATATTCAAAACACCTCAGTGGGTTTAACATTTACAATATATATGCCTTATCTAATGAAAATATATAATATTCTAAAACATTTACAGGTACACCATATTTTATATTGTTAAAATTAAAATTAAAAGTGTAACACGCCTGTGGTTTATTTTTACACAAGAAAAGATGCTATGTGAATTGTGCAGTTTTGTTGGCTTGAATTTTTTTTCTCCTTTTTTACAAGAAACAACACCTTAAACTGTGTATCTTAGACGTACTTCAGTAATAAGTTTAATGTGATGTAAATCAATAATTATTATCGATGTTATATATTTTTTTCTAATTCTGCAGGTGCTAGTATGATAGACCCCGGGGATTCTAGGACTGAACTATATAAAAATTATAGCTCTTTCCATCACCTAAGGCCGTCTATCTCAGAAGTACCTTATTATTATTATTGACAATTAGATTAAAAATATGTATTTACATTCAGTGTAATTTTCCTTATGAAATCCTTTAGAAATTTACGACGTTTAAATTTCTATAACACACGCGAAACCTTGTCACCGCGCGCGTAATTCAATTTGTCGGCTCGGCCAGGTGTGTTATGGGACCGAAGACAGCCAAAAATATGAATTCAATGCTTAGATAAATCAATTATCCCTGTGATACCTTTTGTTTAATATTACAGGAGGCAGTATGTTAGACAACAGTTTTTCCTATTATTACAATCTGTCTGGGATGTCCTTCTCCACCCCAGACAGAGATAACGACGGGCCTCCTGGTTACTGTGCTGCTGACAGTACAATTTAACACAATTCAATCAGTTTTAAAAGTTGAATATATATATATATATATATATATATATATATATATATATATATATATATATATATATATATATATATATATATATATATATATATATATATATATATATATATTTAATTGTTAAGTAAATATATAAATTTGATATAAGTGTCCATGTAATATTTTACTATTTGATAATTCTACAGGTGACTCTATGTTAGACACCGGTAGTCCTTTAAGAGATCTGTCTGGGATGTACTTCTCCACCCCAGACAGGGATAACGACAAAGCTAGTTACAACTGTGCTGCTGCCAGTATCCGTAGAGGAGGCTGGTGGTTTAACTATTGTAACTACGCCTTCCTTAACGGTCAATGGTCCCCGGAAAACTGGAGCTATCCATGGTATCCTACCGTAACGAGTGGGACATCAGTGAAGGGGACCATCATGATGATCAGACGTCACTAGGTAAACATCATTAAGTCCTAATATAACATGTTTTTTTTTTCTTTTTGTATTACTGTGAAAATTTCAGTTATAATTTTTTTAATAGAAAAAATATGCTATTGTACATTTATTTGTGAAGTATTAATTATTTTTTTTTTACAGACGAAAGATTATCCATGGATTATGAAAACCCTCAAGAGACGATTTTAAATTAATTTTTATCGCTGAGTTCTTTTTTTTAAATATTTAACATCAAGTAAAAAACATATAAACAAATATGTTTTCCGTAAAGAAAGGAGAGTTGAGGTTTTCTATAAAGGAATATTGAATGTATTCAGTTAAAATGTACTTGATATGTGCTGTTATAAATTTGAAAATAGAAATATTTATTCGTTGTCGTCGTAAACTTTTCATTAATTTTCATCTTTTTTTTACATCAACCAAACTTGGTACAAATTATCCATTGGAAGGGGAAAAAGAAGGGCCAGGCCCTTTTCCAAGGGGAGATTTTAATTATTAATGGCATTTTTAAAAAATCTTCTTCTCAAGAACCACTGGGCCAGGAAAGATGAAACTCATCTGGAATCATCCTCAGGTAGTGTAGATTCAAATTTGTTCAAATCATGACCGTTGGGGGTAGGGTGGGGCCAAAATATTTAACATAGGAATATATAGGAAAAATCTTAAAAAACTTCTGTAACCACTGGGCCAATCATCCTATGTTTTGTTCGTAAAAAGGAATATATAGGAAAAATCTTTTAAAATCTTCTACTCAAAAACCACTTGAAACTCATGTTTTCAGGTAGTGTAGATTCAAATTTGTTCAAATCATGACCCCCGGGGGAATGGTGGGGCCAAAATGGCCGATCAAAGTTTTACATAGGAATATATAGGAAAAATCTTTAAAAATCTTCTTCTCAAGAACCACTGGGTCAGGAAAGATAAAACTCATGTGGAATCATCCTCAGGTAGTGTAGATTCAAATTTGTTCAAATCATGACCCAAGGGGTAGGGTGAGGCTTTATATTTTTTAAATCTTTTTTTCAAGTTTTTATAAATTTGAAAATAGAAATATTTCGTTCTTTTTTACAAACACTTATAAATGGAGATGTCTGGACGGAGAATCAGGATGTAGATTGCTTTATTGTTAAACCTAATACAGTGGAACCTGTTTAATCAGACACAAGTGCAATACATTTACTGTGATATTAGCCATTTAATTTCATTTGTCATTCACACTTATATCAATGATCTTTACACGCTGCAATACAACACCTTGTTTATTCCGATTCATATGTTTTATATCTGTTCCCCGTGCATGTCGGATAAGACAGGTTTCATTGTAATAAAGATGTTAAGATGTTTTAAAAAAAGATCATAGGTATATTTGATGGTCATGTTTTGTGGTATAATACATCAAAGGTTATACTTCTCTAAAAACATATCCACATCTTTTTCCATCCATGCAGTATTTTTACTGGATGAGCATTTAATTATCCATTAATCTACTTGCAACCGCTTAAATTGAAAATATTGCTATTTTTAATATCATGGAGAAAATAAACTAAAAAGTTGGAGTGAAGCATACTGAATATTTTTTTCCACAAATCTAATTATACCATAAATATATTTAGATAGCTTGAATTTTAGGTGTGGCAAGAAATGCAATGATACTAGATTCTCAATGATACTGGATTATGAGCTTAAAGTAAGAAAATATCACATTTTCTGAAGATCAATATCTCCCATTGCTACAGATAATCATTAAAAAAAATATCTTTCTGCTCTTGAATGCACAATATACGTAATAGCAGACTTATAGCGGTACTGTAATTTTTTATTGTGTTCTTCTTAATTTCAAAACACAGATCGGGGATTAAAAGGTTATATGTGTGATGTGCGTTTTATTCTGACGTCACGAACGTTAAAAGCAAAAATTGAGATAATTTGATATTATTGTTATTTAGGTTAGAGATAATTCAAGTAAGTTAGAAAAAAAATCAAATTTGCAAAACAAGACAAAGAGTTAAAAAAAAAACACTGATTCATTATTTTATGAAAGATGTTATCTTATATCCGCAATTGTCTTTGCAAACAAAACTTAGCAAGCTAACATTAATCAATATGTTTGCAAATACTTTTGCAATTATGAGACATCTTTTGAAAAAAAGTGACTCAATATGTGAGTCATTCTCTATTATTCAATGTGTAGACTATGGTTTATATATATCCAAAAATTTGATAGACTGCAACTTGAAATTTGTTATTAAACCAATAGGAAAAGTTAAGGAGCAAATGATGAAAATTCAAGGTAGGTTTTTGAAACAAAGAGGCTTATGATTAATGTTATCGTTTGCAGGTCAAACACCAAGTTCAAAATAAAACTAGTTTTGGTACCAAAAGAAATGTTCCTTAGGATGAGTGTACCTTCGAAAAAAAAAAAACCCATAAAAGCAGCAACAGTTCAATACTTAAGACCAAAGTTAGAGGTTTTCAAAAGTAGGTCAAACTGGACAAGGTCAAGGTGTTAATATTGATGATACCCAAAGAATTTCGCAAAGAATACACAGGTGAAATATAAAAGTCACGGAATCAACCAACAAAAGTTTTTAGCAAAGTTTTTCAAAAGAAGTCTGATGTCCAAATAAAAGGATAAAGAATAAAAAGAAAATATTGGTATTTAAGAGAAGCTCTTACCACAAGAAATAAACCTGTAAAATAGTTAACCCCTAGAACTAAATATTCAGTAAATACATCCAAAGTTAACGTTTTTAAAAAGTAGATCAAATCCATAAGAACAAGGTTAAAGGTCATTACTGCTTGTACTCAAGAGAAGGTCTTATCAAAATATAAGCGTGAGGAGTATGATATCACTTGATTTAACCGTATAATAGATACACTAAGATTAGAATTTTGAAAAAAAAAATGAGATCAAAGTCAAAAATACTTGTAAATTAAGTAAAGTTTTTACACATGGAATACACTAGTGAAATATTAAAGCCATAGCTCACTTGACCAAGGCTTAAATTCTCATATGAAAGTCAACATAAAGAAAAAAATTCAACCCAAAGGATAGGTCCTTTCATACTATATACAACTGTGAAATATGAAATCCATATAGCTCAAACCAATTTTAGGCTGTAGTCAGGGCTAATTGATTTCCCCACTTACAGTTAAATGAGAAAAAAATCAGAAACAGACAGATGGACAGTCCGTCACAGCAAAGTATATTTTCCCTCATTTTTTTTTTGGATTACGGATAGAAATTAATAAAAAAAAACACTTTGTGCTAAATGGTTGTAAGTGTGGTGTGAAGAGACCCCACGTAAGTTTCCTTTGGGAAGATAACTAACTACCACAATATAATGCACAGTCTGTCTTTGTGTATATGCTATTCATAGTTTATTTAAAACATGATGATCAATCTAGATCTCTTCCGAGGAGACAAATATACGATCCGAGAATAAATCTAGATCTCTTCCGAGGAGACGAATATACGATCCGACGTATCAAAACAAAACTCCATTTAATGATTTAGAACTTTTTACACCATGCTTAATGAAATTATATAAAAACAATGGTTGCAAATGTTTATTTTAATTAAGGTCAAGAGAATAAAAACTTTAGACTGTAACATTATGACGTCACAATTTCTTTCTTTTTCCCGTGGCTTTAGCATAAAAATAGGGTATTTTCAGAAATCATAGAATCCTACATTTAAATTAAATAATTAAACCGTTTTCCTGTGTATAAATTCGTTTTTCTTTGTCAATATGAAAAAAACTTACCCAGCGCCACCTACCGTTTTATGAAAATGACAAAAGGAGGCCAAAGATTATTCAACTGCCGCCTCACATAATTTCTCCCGAAACATTCCATTCTGATAGTTACAGGTGTCCAATTATCAAACATGAATCTTTCGTCAAATTTGATCAAAACATTGGCATTAAATTTTAAATTTTGAGAAAACTTCTGCAGACCAAAGGATTTGGCGACAAGAAAAATAATTATAATTTTCAAATTTGAAACAACTTTGATACAAATTATGTTTTTTTTACGCGTTGTTTTTACAACCTGCGGAAGTGATGTAAATAAAAAATATATCTAAATTTGATTGAGGTAAAATTCAAAATAGACATTATGAAGTGAATTTTCTCTTTTTTCTCCGTGGTATATGCAACAATTAAATTTTCTCAAGGGAATAAGTGTTAATACCTAGATTGTACAAAATGTTTTTTCAATTTTGAATCAACCAAGCCGAAATATAAACAAAATTAAATTATTTAAAAGAAAATGAAACATTATGTAACAGAACACTCTTCTGGCTCCAAATAAAACGGCGAATCCTCGCAAATAAAGGGGAGTTTTAGTTAACGTTTAAAGTCAGTTACCGTGTTATACGAAAAAAGGAGACTAAAGATTGGGTCAACTGCTGTCTCACCCTCGTCGTAAGATTCCAGTTCTGATACGTCACAGGTGTCCAGTTATCATAAATGAGTCTTTCATTGTCCTCAAATGTCAAAAAATTGGCTTGAAATGCAAATAAACCGTATAGTGCAACTTCTGCAGAAAAGGACAAGAAAAAATATAATTCTCAAGTTTGAAACACCACCGATACACAATTATTTGTTGCTAAACATTCTGTATACTCTAAAAATCATAACTTGTGATCTGCTGTATCCAAATTCAATAGACATTCAAAAGGAATGTATCGTTTTTTGCGTCGTGGCATATGTAATGATAGAATATTTTCTGACGAGCATTAGCAAAACTAGGCCAAACTATATTTCAATTTGAAGAAGAAGGAAAATAAGTAACGTTTGTTGGTGTTCGATTCCAAAGTAATGAAATAAGAAATTAACAATTTTGACACACTGCAAAAATATATTTTACAAATTTAATGTGCAGTTTTATTTATCTAAAAATCAGATTTGTAGAAAGAAAAAAAAATTATCTCACTTTTTATCAAAGTTGTTTAAATATACTCTTCATAATTTTTGATGAAAGAGTATCTATTTTTT